GAAAACATGATATGTATTTTCTACATATTTGTAGACTACCTATAAAATCAATTAAATACAGTAAGCCTCTGAAACTTAATTTTGTTATATTTTTCGGGGGCTCGCCCTTGGATAATTTTAAGACATTTTGAACGATGCCTGACCACACCTACTCTGGGCCATCCCAGCATATTACCCCCTAAAAATTTACCTTGCCCCCCCATCCCTTCTCCCCTTAGATTTCAGAGACTGGCACCGCCACTGGGGGTTTGGTCTTAATTTAGAAGGTTAGTTTTATGTTAAAATATTTTACATCGTGATTTGGTTCTTTAAAGAAAGTGGTCTTGAATTACAGAGTAGTCTTGAATTAGAGGGTACCCGGTATTATTATCTTTGTCACTGGATCACATACTGTGATCAATTACATAAAGTCAGGGGCGGATCCAGCCCGGTAAGAAAGGGGAGGCGGGCGTGAATGTGCGAACCAACCGAGTGTCTCAGGAAAGAGGCCCTCAATTATGTAATATTCTAGTCAACTTGTTGGGGGTCTATTGCATAATGCTGTAGTCAACTCGTTAGAGTCTATTGCATAATGTTGTAGTCAACTCATTGGGATTGCATAATGTTGTATAGTCAATTCGTTGGGGGTCTATTGCATAATGTTGTACTTAACTCATTAAAGGACTGTTGCATAATTTTGTAGTTCAACTCGTTTGGTGTCTGTTGCATAATTAATGTTTTTGCAAACTTGTTGGGGTCTATTGCATTATAGTCAACTCGTTGGGGGTCTGTTTCATAATGTTGTTTTCAACGCATTAGGGCACTATTGCGTAATGTTGTAGTCAACTCATGGGGGTCTGTTGCATAATGTTGCAGTCAACTCACTAGGGGTCTATTGCATAATGTTGTAGTAAACTCATTGGGGGTCTATTGCATAATGTTGTAGTAAACTCATTGGGGGGTCTATTGCTTAATGTTGTAGTCAACTCATTGGAGGTCTATTGCGTAATTTTGTAGTCAACTTGTTGGGGTACAGTACGTCTATTGTAAAATGTTGTAGTCAACTCGTTGTCGGGTCTATTGCATAAGTAATGTTGTTGTCAACTCGTTATGGGTCTATTGCTTATACTGTAGTCAACTCGTTGGGGGAGTTCATTGCATAATGTATTTCTCTGCAGCTGTCTTAAAATATTGCATAATAGTGTCTATTGCATAATGCTGTAGGCTAGCAATTGAAAAAAAACATATACCAGGTACCCACATGTCTCTCCATGGGTGGAGAGAGGCATGAACAGAGTGACTTTCTCAAGGACTTAAGCAAATGGTTGGATTAAATGACCAGGGTATTATTGGGGTTCAACAAATGCCAATCACTGTCAATCTTTGGTCTAGTTTTCTATTATTTTTAATACAGTATAAGTGGCAAAATTTTAAATTTGGAATTGGCTTTTGGCATAACAGTAAATATCAAACATAACAATTTATGAAAAGAACATTTACAAATGAACTAAAAGTTAATGTGCAAAATTTACGATTAAAAGAACAAGTGGAGTAAAGTTAATTTAAATTATGTTAAATTAGGTGAGTGATTTAGCATATCCTAGTTAGTTTTGCAAGCCAAGGAACTGGTGAAAATACTGTGAAATATTGTGAAATTGTCACTTGTTGGTTTCCCTTGTTGATTGAAGATCCTGTGATTTTATTTGTATGTTGCTTTGTAATCTTGTTCTTACGAATGAATAATAAATAGCATGAGCGTCTATCCTAAGAGCAAGTGGCTGGAAGAGTGATTAGGGTTGTGGTTAGTAATCTAAAGAGACAGACAAGGGTATTACCAGCAGTTTGTTTTCCTTATCATGTCAATATACATCAATAATAGTATATGCATGAGAAACCATGGTTGGCCAGTTATTTTTACCGTATATAACCCAACCAATTTACACAAATCAGAGGCTTATGAAATTAGGAATGATTTTTTTGCTTCTACCTGACGTGTTAGGCCACACTTTTCTTCAGCGTGGTTCAGTTTGAGCTCACGCTATTTTGCCATAGGAAAAATCCACTCAGTTTCTTTCTAAAACCGGACATAACACGAAGCCTATTCTTGTTTTTACCCAGCGACGTGACTTGCAATCACATTTTGCGTGTGGGTGTGTGTGTGTGGGCATTTAGAGTGAAATTGCGCATGCGTCAGAAAATGTTTTTAGACATATGGTTTACCTCGCGATGTAAAGTTCCTCAGTGGTGGTTCAGTCACCTTCTCCCAGGTTTTTGCTTTTGATTAGCACCCCCAGTTGCTTGATAAGATTAAAAATAATAAGCAACTTCGATATCTCTAGAGGGCGCCACATGTCATAAGGTCAATCGGGACATTTTTTCACCCGCGAGATGAGACAACAGGCTAGGCTGCTGCATGCTGCTGGAGGCGTGTATAATAGCACCTCCTGCCAGGGGCGGCGGGGAGATAGCGAAGCATTAATTTAGGCCTATACCTGATGTGTAAGCATAGTATTCATTTTCCCAATATTCAAATGCAAAGAATTAACTTTTCAAGGTAAACAACCACAACACAAAATCCACCCAACCTCAAATTGCCTGAAAATAATACATGCGTCATGCATAGGAACGTTGACGCCCGCAGGGTTCTGGTTTATACCTTGTTTCGCAAACTTATTATTTTTTTAAGATTGTCTGGAGAGGGCGGGAAAAAAAATATAATAGAATTTTGTAATACAAAATGATCTTGCCAAAATCATCTAGGCAAAAAAGAAAATAAAACAAATATATTATTGAATTAAACGGTGCAGTTTTAAATTTATATAATTAAGTAAGAAATATATATATATACTGTATATAAATATATAATGATGTGTATAAGAGACAGGTACAGTACGTCTATTGTAAAATGTTGTAGTCAACTCGTTGTCGGGTCTATTGCATAAGTAATGTTGTTGTCAACTCGTTATGGGTCTATTGCTTATACTGTAGTCAACTCGTTGGGGGAGTTCATTGCATAATGTATTTCTCTGCAGCTGTCTTAAAATGATAATTGTGAAAACATTGAGATTTTATAGTAAATGTCGAATAAAAATGTTACAAAACAATTTTGATCCCCTATTTTGACCACATTAAATTTTACCATGTTTGCATAATACTGTACAGTATTTAATTTATTTCAGATAATTGTGAAAACATTAAGATTTCATGGTAAATGTTAGATGAACATGTTACAACAGCTATTCTGGTCATATGTTTACCACATTTTTATAGTTTTACAATGTTTGCATAATCCTTATTTTATTTAAATCGGATGATTTGGAAACATTTAGAATTTATAGTAAATGTAGAATACAAATGTTACCAGCAATTCTGAGTCCCTATGTTTACCACATTTGTATAGTTTTACAATGTTTGCACAATAACGATTATATTTAAACCAGATAATTGTGAAAACATTGAAATTCGATGGTAATGTCAAATAAAAATATTTTCAATATCAATTTTGAGCCTTTATGTTTACCACAATTTTATAGTTTTACAATGTTTTCATAATCCTGATTTTATTTAAATCAGATAATTATGAAAACATTGAAATTTCATGTTAATGTCAAAAAAAATTATTTGCAAAATAGATTTTGAGCCTTTATGTTTACCACATTTTTATAGTTTTACAATGTTTGCTTAATCCTGATTTTATTTAAATCAGATAATTGTGAAACATTGAAATTTCTTATGGTAAATGTTAAATAAAATGTTTACAACATCATTTTTGAGCCCTATTTACCACATTTGTATAGTTTTACCATGTTTGCATAATACCGATTTAATTTATTATAGATGATTGAGGAAACATTAAGATTTCATAAGATGTCAAGTGAAAATGTTACTGCATCAATTTTGTTTAAGCAACTAATGTTTACCAAATTTGTGTAGTTTTACCATGTTTGCAAACTTTTAGAATGGCCTATAAAATGTTATTAAGGCCTACTGAAAAATAAAACAATTTCAAATAAAGCCAGACTCTATAAGAAAAAAATTGATAAATTGATTTTTCGTAGACACAAATTATTGTTTAACAAAAATAACTTGGAAAATGGGCGAATTAGATACAGATTTTTGACTATTTAAGAACTTTGGGAAAAGGTGGAAAATCGTGGTTACATTGTAGTATATTTTTTTGGCTTTGATTACAATCCAAAATTGAAGTATCAATTTAAAAAAATGATGTCTTTGTTTTGTCAATGTCATATTAACAGTTTTTATATAGAAGAGTTTGTGTTGATAAGTCTATCAAACTAACCTTAATGTGACTCTTTCAAGTAGGTCATTGGGGTATATTTTCTTTATAAGATTTTATGTATCTCTTGTTGCCATAGGAATTATCACATGATCCACTTGACAAGCTTGTGATTGCATATTAATTTCAAATCATTTGAATTTTTAATTCAAACTCTCATTATTACAGTAAGTGTTTGTCCTATCTATTTAGTGTCTTTCATTAGGACTTGTTCTGGCCCAGGATTTATTTAGTCCATAAGCAAATATCTAAAGCTGATTTATCAAACCATCTTAGCTTAAAAATAGTCTTAGATAGTTCATGCATACAATCAACTTTTTAATTTTAAGCAATTTTTCAGTTAAAACAATAGTGATAAATTTGACTTGACTAAAAGATGAACTAATACTTATTTCTAGTTTGATAAATCCAGCCCCAGGTCTTTAAACTATAGAGGGCTCACTACATATACCTAACAATATATCCATCTAGAAGTGCTGATTAGTTTTTTGTTTTGTTTTAAAGAACATCATTTTGAAAGCAGATTTTAAGGTAGATCTAATATACCATTTTTTTAATGTATTTTTATAGATACGTTCCAGCAGGTGAAAGTATCGACCTTATTAATGTTGCTTTTGAGCTGCCGATAAAAGCGGATACCTCTGAAAGTGAGCATCAGATGTAAGTTATTTTTAGAATGTTAATGTTCCTGACATTGATTTTTTTTTTTAGGTAATTGACCATAAAAATCCTAGATGTGTGTAAGGATTACCGTTAGATTATTTTAGGATTATGCAAAAGCTTAACTTGACACACCCGAGAAGCACAATAGTTGGAGAAGGAATGAAACCGATATGTGTAGTTGCTGTTAGCTGCACCCTTTACCAGTAAGTAGTTCACAGGGGTGTGGTGTACAACCTTCGATACATAGTCGGCTGTGTTTAGAATGTGGCATACCATGCTTTAAATAATCCTGAAGATTATAGAAGATTCTGGGATGACATTTTTCAAGAGATCAACTGAAAATTAGGGTGGTCTAGGGTCATAGCCTCATGCCATTTTTATACCGCTGTCGGAGATGATGAACTTAGTTGCTCATGACTCTGAATGTTGTTCTTATCAGAATCTTGTGTTCATAATATACAAAGGTCCAATGTGAGAACTAAGCTCTCCGACAAGGAGTCGGGCAATTTTCTGACGTAGACTAGCAGGGTGTAGAGGTAAAGGTGACAGGGGTTCAGAACCAAGCCCCCAGGTTGGGGCTCAGAGCTAAGCCCCATTTCGGCTCAGAGCTAAGTCACAGTGGGGGCTCAGATTTAAGTCCCTTGGAAAAAAAAACTGGAATATTTTTGGCAATTTTAAGCTACTCTCAGACATTCCACAACATTCTATGCTGGAAAAATAGAAAAACATTTTTTTTTAGTTCTAAGCAGCTGTCTTGATGAGGATGTTCTTTAATGATTTATTCTCTTTCAGTTTTGACATTTCATATGATGTCCCTGACAGGATCACCGGTCGAACAGGCCTAGAAGAATTAAAGAATCTTAATCCAAAAAGAGTGTGGAATTTTTTGGAGGTATATCCTATGGTTTATCTTTTTTTTAAAAAATCAAATCCTTTATGAAAAACTATAAAGAACTGTCAATCAATTTATATTTGTACAAGAATTACAGAATAAATATAGTACCAATAATAATTTCACAAATTATATTTTAAATTCAATACATGTATACTTAATTAGTAACTAGTAAAATGAAGTTTGACATTTATTTAAATCGATGTTGGCTTGTTCCTTGTTTTTTAGGTCAACGTAACACATGAGGAACTTCAGTCTATGAGGTACAGTATGTTGTTCATGTAAATCCTAACGATTAACGTACCACAGTGACGAGGGTATGGCTGTTCCATCATAAATAATTAAAATAGAATATAGTTACGGTTTTAACATTTTTTGGGCTTTTTGGAAGGTTGTGCATGTGATGCTAAATTTTAGGGATATATGAAGAATGTTGCAATACAGCAAAACCTCAAATTTAAGCCCTAGGCTTTTTTTCCTAATTTTTAATGGCTTTTTTTTTTTAAAGTAGGCTTATTTTCGAGGCTACTTTTGGAAATTGAAGAGGGTTGGCCTCTTTTAAAAGATAAACAATAAATAGGGCCACTGTAACATCAAACTGTGTCATGGAGTGTATTAACCGGCATTGTTCCTTAAAATTCATGTACATTATATGTACTATACTATCTCAAAAAAAAAAAAGCCAAGGCTATCTTGAAAAGAAGCCCATGTCCTTCTTTTTGAGATGGGCTTTTTTTTTCAAGGCTACATTTGCCAAGTAAAAGAGGTCTTCAATTTGAGATGGGCTTCTTCTCGAGATTAAGCCCATTGGGCTTCAATTTTGAGGTTTTACGGTAGGTTATAATAAAGATCTGTCCACACTATAAAATTTGTTGACAAAAAACTGTTATATAGTCATGACGTGCCCATATATAGT